TTCAGCAGTGCACTGCTTTTTGTTCCTGGATACAGTCGAGTGCCGGCTAACGAGAGAACATATTGTCTGGCTAGGCTGGGGGCCCAAAGAACCTGCACCGGTCCCGAGCCTAGGCTTGGCATCAGCAGGCGCCAGGTCAACTCCGCCCTGAATGAATAGGTGTATAGGAACCTGGAAATAGCGTGGTGAGAGACAGGGGTAGAGAATTGCTCACCGGCTATTGTACACTGAACAGTCACTTATCCATTTTAAAGATGAGGACAGATCCTATTTGCCTCATGTGCTGAGAGGAGGACGAAACAGGGTTCCACTTTCTGGGCTAATGCACTGAATATTGCGGTTTAAGGACTGAGATATTTAGAGCCATGGAGTTGGATGGTGAATGGTCGGACAACCTGACTTTTAGCAGAGGATCAGGAAGCTTCAACAGATTAGTGGATTTCCATGTGGAGTAGAGAGTTAGTACATTCGGGGTTGGCAAAAAGGGCCTACTTTCCAGACTTCCCCTCCTCACTACTACTACAAATACATGTGCTGTTCTGCTTAAGGCATCGCGAATTTTTTTCTTTATCAATTTGCGGTGCTTCTACTTTTGGCCTGTATGTACACAAAATGTGTTTTGAAATGCACAGTGGCCGCACGCGATCCTATGACATAATTAAAGATAACACCGATGTGCATGTGCGTTGTTACAAAATCATCAGTAATATCGCGAGGACGAAGAGAGTGATTTCCTGTGGTTACTGCGATGTCTTGTTGAATATCGTACGCATAATCGTCTTTGCTGTATTGTTACGTGCAAAGTATGCGTTAGCAATAGCTTTGATAATAGTAGGGTCACTGAGCGGTGAAACCAGTTTTATTTGCCACGCCACTGCTGAGAAGGTATTGCAATCGCAAAAAGTTTCGAAAATGAGCTATAATCTTTTTTGGATGATATATGACATGAACCTCGGGAAAAACCTGTCTGCCGATCTGTTGCTCTGCGTGTCGGCTAATCCTTTTACAGACTATGACTTATAACAAGAAAAGTACTGCAAAGTGGTGCTGTAAGACTTTGGTAAGGGAACTGTTCAGCCGTAGAGCCATAAGGTGTTGTATAACTGTTACAAGATTGCTTTAGGCACCTCACTTAAGAGTAAATTATGTACTGTAGAAAGCAAATTTGCATTCCACACAACATTAAGCCAACATTTTAGTGTTCAGGGAACAACAAGTGAGAGCTTTTACGGCTAAACAGTTCTTTTACCAAAAACTTATAGCAGCGCTTTGCTAGTTGGGTCATGTTTATCAGGAAAATTTTTGTAGGGATTAAGAATTGGCCGTTGGGGATTGTAGATTTTTAGGTACGTATATTTACACGCTCCCAATCTCTATCTCTGCGATGACCAGCGTCACAGTGTCGATTTGCGCTGCCGAGTCTGACGAATGGATTGATCTAGCGGTGAAGTATGAGCGATAAGCAAAGTTGTCAGATGGACATCGATAGGAGGCTGATTTCTCTCAAAGAGCCGTTCATTTCGGCTGGTCGGAGTCCATGTCAGTGAAGGCTTGATTTGACACGAATATATCTCGTCAATTAGCGGCAGCTGGTGAGAAAAAGCAGGCTAGCTAAGAAGTGCTTTCCTCCACATAACCTCCTTACTCTGTACAAAGCCCAAGTAGGACCTAGCATTGAGTACTGCTCCCATCTTTGAGGTGAGGAGGGCTGTCCAACTGATCGACGACTTTTCTCTAACGGACAGTCCCGGGACCCTTCTGGGTGTCTGGCTCTCCTCTGTCGCTATGTCAACGAGCTCTTCTCCTCAGTGTTCTCCTCCAAAACGCAGCCGCGCGATGAGCCTTCCAGACAGACCCGCTTGACTGTGGCCTCCCATCCTGACCGCGTCACATCGAGAGCTAGCGAGTACGACTACTCATCTGTCCCACGTGATTACCCCTTGCGTAAAGCACGCAAGAACTTGTCAGTCACGTTGTTGCGACAACAGTCATTAGCTTTTTTCATAGCCTGGAAAGTTTATCATTATGGTGACTGTCTGAACATGTAAGACTTCCGCTAGTGACATTACTCTTCGTGATTGGTATACTTTAGTGGATTGTTACGTGGTTATAACTGCGTCAATACACATATAAGCATTTGACAAAGGCTTTATTTAATTGTTATACAGTTGTTACAACATGTGAGACATGTAATAGATTTTACAAACGGCAAGAACTAAATAGACAGGCCGTTATTATGATGAGGTAATAAAATAATATAAAACTACAAAATCCTTACCGAAAAATGATGTTTCAAAAGTTGGGAATCCGAGAATTGCTTCTTGCTTTAGAGCGTAGTGTTATTGTGAGACTGTTATTTTATTATCATGTGTTTTAAGCTTCTCGTACGAGGGCCATTCTTAAAGTAAGAATCGATTGCTCGTCGTGCCCGCGCATCCGCTTTGTTTACTCCCAAGTAAATCAGCAAACCCGCCGATGATGCAGTGCGCTCAGTAATTCGACAAAAAATGCTCCTGTTGAAACTGATCAGCAGCTTGTTGAATTAGGCGCTCTATTCTGCTATTCAAAACCACCAGCGGAGGATGATGCTCCCAACGGGGTCGTACTACTTCACGGTAGTTCTCGGCTTAGCACCATCAGAATTTCATTGTTTTTTAACTTAAGGAATTTCTTAGTCGCATGCGCTTGGAAAACGATGGCATGTCGACAGAAACAGTTACTAATTGGCGTAACGGCCAGGCGACAGCGTTCTTTGACGACGAGATCCAAAAGCTGGTACCATGACACGACAAATGTTTGAATGCTTATTTGATTATGTTGAAGAATGAAAAAATGTTCATATTTCAGATTGTGATATAATTTACGTTAATGAATAAAATTTCTTTGACTCCACTGCATAAAGGTTCTTACTCAAAAGATAAGCCTGATACTAGGCATTCAAAACGTGAATGTATGGAAGGTACTAAGACACTCTACCTATCATGATGTTTATACATGGTGTTTGGCCTACGAAGTGATTAGCAAGATTTAATAAAAACGTCACCACTACACTCAAGCTATCTTCTGAAAGCGTACAAAGTGCGTTTAAGAAAGAACAGTGTTCGTATTTTGCATAATTGGTGTGTTCTTTGGTAGATGACCTACAGAGTGATTAGCGAGACTGGGATATAATAAGTCTGTTTCGAAAGAAATAATGGATAAAACAGAAGGTTGCAACTACTATGAATCGCTTCTTATACTTTCGTTTCTCTTCATTATGCACAGATTACAATGGCTTATAAACAACAAACTTTGCATTTGAAACGAAGGGATTGAGTTGGTCTTCAAGGTTGAATCGTGACCATACACAGATTGTTTCTATAATATGGGGCAAAAATTCATGGTAATCATTTGGCCTGCTGTAAGGCTATTTTGTTCTTTCACAATTTTTTGATACAGGGCGAACATGTTGAAAATAATTGCTTCTATATTCAAAATTCACATGTTAAGCTTCTTGATTCACAAATACTGCTTAAAAAAGAATCCTTCAGGTAGAACGCAAGCTTCCAATCCTCTAGAGACTCTGGAGGGCTAATCTTTTTCAAACACAAGAGGGGCGCAAGTAGCAGATCTTCAAACATTCTGAAGAGCATTTCTCTGTTTTGTTATTGGGTGACTATTCACGATTTGCAGGTTTCACGAAATTTTATACGAAAAACTTCAATTCATAACATAAAAAGCTCTCACAAGTCAAAATCTGATATTCTTTGTTTTAACCAACGGATAATTAGACTAGGTAGGAAAGGCAAGCCTCCGATCTCTATGTCTCCAAAATCTTAGCAGGGTGAAAGTGCTTACTACAAGTGGACTTAACACAAGTTGTTTTTTGACAGTTCTGTCATTAAATTAGTATTTTCAGTATTATTTTTTAAAAGTGTGAGTGATCGCGGATAATTATGTTGTTAGACGAATTCATTGGTTCAACCATTTAATACAAACCACAGAAGATATCCGTACAGATATCAGAACCTTTATTTCTCAAAGACATAATCACTTAAATAAATATTGTTTATTTAAAAAAAAATATAACAGATTTATCAAGAACAGGTAACACAGAGACACATAAATAGTTTACATACAAAAGACATGCACATAATGTACAAGAGGCACACATAGTGTGGATCACTTAAGCAGTACTGTCAGCACTGCCCAATGTGCTCAATGGCCATAGTCGTACCCACCATATCCTCCATCGTAATCATGGCTGTGGTGATGATCATGTACAGGCACTGCCACAGGTACTTTTACTGGGTACGGCACTGGTTTTTCTACGGGGTACGGTACTGGTTTTTCTACGGGGTAAGGCACAGGTCTGTCGACAGCTACCTTTACGGGGTAAGGTACAGGCTTTTCTACGGGGTACGGTACGTGTTTTTCTACGGGGTATGGTGCGGGTACAGGTACTTTAACTGGGACTGGGTATGGTTTTTCTACGGGATATGGTACGGGCCTGTCTACGGCGACTTTGACTGGGTAGGGCACTGGTCTTTCTACAGGTACCTGTAACAAAAAGGAAAGGGAATTGGTGAAGGAAATTATTTAGAAGAATGGAATTGTCATGTGGGATAGATTAAAGAAATCCACCGCTTGACAAATTTGCATTTTTATAGCTGAAACACATTGTCATCCATTTTCCAAGATTAACGCATACTCATGTCTTACTGGCTATTAAATGAATCTAGGATTAGACGATTTACTACCATTTCGGCTACCTCCGTTGCACTTTTATACAAACTGACAATGACAATAGGTATATTTAATTTATCCGCCTGCCAGATCATAGCTGGCTTATTTTGGCCAAGATAAATATCTAGATTTATTTGGCAGCTAGAGATTCATCAATGAGACAACCACAGGAAGAGTTTCAGATGCTGCATTGAGAAAAGTGCAGCTTAGCATCGGTTATTTGCTGATAGATGGAAAGAACGCCAATCTAAGCTACCGCCGACCCACAACTTATTACCCCACAGACTCGTCGCGTCAGAACTCGTTTTTGGTACTTCTTCAAGATGGAAAATTTGGAAAATACCTCATTATAATAAAAAAAAACAAGAAAATAAGTCTAGCGCTAGCAAAAAAGTGGTGAGTCAAGGTTTCTAGTCTAACTCATAGTAGAACTCTCTTCCAAAAATTCCTCCACAAAGGATCTTTCACAGATATAAAAATTCTTTCATCCGATTTTCGTTGTAAGATTCTTGTTAATGATTGCTTTTTGATTGGAATTTTCATTTGTTGCGAAACATCGGGTAAACATTCAGTAGGTGATTCACTGAACCAGGACTATTTTTTTTCTTAACGATTTGAGATGTCACTGGCATTCATTTTTTCGGCAATATAGGATCTCAAAAAGCTCTACTGGAAATCAATCGGTTTTTCTCAAATAATTTTGTACAACACTGCATAATTCAACGAAATTTGACAGCATGGTAATTGAGGCTTCGTATGATGTCCTTAGAAAACATATAACTCATCATCATTATACTGATTCTAATATACTTCTAGTTCCGCCATTTTGAAAATATAATAATTTTAAAAACAGATTCGCGACCCGAAGCATTGATGTATCTAAAAGCACTTTAAAATTCCTATACTAAAAGTTGGCCAAGCAAAGTCTAAGAAATTACTCTGAATTCCTGCCCCATGCTTTAGAAAAACGTTGTATAAATAGGCAATGGAAAAGAAGCTGTTACATACCGGAATTTTCTTGATGACATGCACTGGGTAAGGCTGAGGCACATGGACTGGGTACGGCCTGTCGACTGGTACTTTCACTGGTACAGGTATTTCCTTGTAAACTGGATAAGGCTGGGGAACATGTACAGGTACTTTGACTGGGTATGGAACTGGTTTCTCAACTGGATAAGGCTGGGGAACTGGAACTTTCACTGGATAAGGAACGTGCTTCTCGACAGGGTAAGGTTGGGGAACAAGTACTTTGACTGGGTACGGCCTATCAACATGGACCTTGTAGGGAACATGCACGATCTTTTCAACGGGGTAGGGCTGAGGAACGGGTACGGCGACCTTCACAGGTACTCTTACTGGATAGGGAACATGCTTTTCTACAGGGTAAGGCTGCGGAACCAGTACTTTGACTGGGTAAGGGACGTGTTTGGTGACAGGATAGGGAATGTGCTTCTCAACAGGATAAGGCACTGGGATTCCTTTAACCACAGTGATGGTCTTCTCAACATGTGCAGAAGAGCCCAGATCGAAAGCTCCGTGGCCATGGTGGCCCACCAGGTAGCCTCCATCTAACCCATGGCCTCCTTGGCCTACGTGGTAGCCGTTGTCGAAGTCTCCGCCGTAGCCGTAGCCCAAACTGAGCAGCCCACGCTTTGTCTGCTTCTTGTCCTCTGATTTCTTCTCCTCGGCCTGGACGCTGTTCAGCGCCACTGCCACGAGGACTAAGAGTAAGAGGGGTCGTATCTGGAATATAAGGAGAACCTTGTAAGATTATGCAAATACACGCCTGCAAATATGAGCAAACTTCCTTACGAATGAGGATATCTAGCAATTCAGAAAAAAGTATCGAACAATAGGAATATACAGGGTATTCTAAACGATGCTGCTTTTCTTTTCAGAAATAATTACGTTTGAAATAGCAAAGTTAACTTACAGTAAAACAGCACCGAAAATGTAAAATAAAAGATTTTATGAAAAATACTCACTATCTATTTGGTACGGTATTTCATATACTGCCCTATCACATGTTTTGTTTGTAGTTACTGATTGACGTTTGTTTTCTTCTTCCTAAAGTCACTATATTTGGAGTTGTCTAGGTCCACTAAGACGGCTTTCGCACGACATAGACAAACCTACGCAGCTCCGATGGAAATATCGAGGACGACGTCGAGGTTCTGAATACTCAAATACACCCACGGAGTATCAATAGGATCGTCACAGTCTACTATCAAATATCAAATCGATAACCATGTTACTGCTGTAGGATTGTGCAATATCGGTTTGTTTTAGACTAGGTAAACCTACACATTGCGCGGCGCCTGATTTGGATACTGACTTAGCACCAGAAAACATCATACACTTTTTCGGAATTTAAGTTCTCGGTTATTTCAAAGCTTTGTTATATATGTTACTAGGAAAGTTTGCTTATTATTGCCTGGTCCTTCGTCTAGAGACACAAAATTTTTTGCAGAGTGACTATATTTTACTTATTGAGTTATTCATCAAAATTGAAATAGTCTTCCTCATATATTCAAGGAACTATAAAGTAAAAGTACTCCAGAAGAAAGTTGTAGAACATGAAAGGACCTTCAACCTGCGACCTTGTATCTCGAGTTTTGCTGTTGGGGTTGATGTTTATTCAAAGGATTCTTCAATCTTCAAATTTAGTTCTTTCCAAACACTGCCCAACAGAAAGTATAAATCCTTGATGATGATGACAATTCTGGAGAAATTTTTGCAAAACATTATCTATTTCAGGTTAATGGTATTGATTTTTTCTAAATTTGAGGTTCAATAAAATGGTCATCTAGCAACACTTTCTGTGCCTCGAGGCAGTAGTTCCTTTCATTTACTATTAGGAATATGATTCCGTTGTAAAACTCGTCTATACAATTTTTCCTAGAACCAGGTCTGTTTTTGGCTATTTAGCCGGATATACTAGTAACACATACATCGCAGTCTTGTCCCAGCAAAGAATTAGATGGAAAGATACGACGTGCGACAGTATCTAACCCAACGCTGAGCGCTGTATGTTTATAAGTCGGATTTTAAAAAACAAAAATAGCATATTCTTGTATCAATAACTGACTCGTCGATCCGGATGCCTCGCGAGTGTATTCAGGTCATTTTCATGAACACTTCTATTCTGAGCTGCATAAGTTTGTTTATCTCGCACAAAGGCCACTTATAACAAAGTCAAGGTGAGCTTAGACAGCCGCGAATGGTGCAAAATGAATAAGAATCTAAGAAATTTGTGTTTTGGTATCAAACAGTATTTATTAGCAACTTGTGACAGAGCGATATTGAGAATTTCTCATGAAATGAACCGAACTTTATTCACCTCTGCAAAAATCCAACATGAAGTCCTCAAGAAAATAGTAGTGTTGATGATTGGGGACAACAGGGGAAACGTCATATAGAAATCCTAATTAAACAACCTTGTAGAGGAGAAAAAGTGCACAACTTAATTTGTAATTCTATCTCAAATAAAGTCGGAAAAACAATAAATACGATTTTGGTATATTTGGTAGAAGCATGTTATTCCTTTTCTGTGGTCGGGACTTAAAGCGTGCTGTTAAGTCAAGAGCAAATTCTTTTCAAACGAGCAAATCACGATATTGTGCAGTGCTTCTAAAAAATGTTTCTTTAAGTAGATATCTAGTTTATGTAGATTTCAAAGACCTAGCACAAAACACAAACAACCTAACCCATGTTCTTAGCTGAAAGCGACGACGGTCTTATACTGAGTCGATCTGTTCCTCAGTCCGCACTTTAAAAATTTGCAGCTTGAGTTCATTGACTACCTTCAAATAATAGTGACATACTTTTATTCGTTACCTGAACAGCTAATTTGAATACTAATAAGTGCTCATTCATAAATACAAACTCGTACCTGACACAACGTTACCATAATGAATGGTGTAATATTTGCAGAAAAAGTACTTCAGATCTTGACCTCATATGCTTTTTTCGAGCAGTATTGCAATAGAACTAACCTATCACAGATTTTTGTGTTGCTAAACTAGATCACCGAGGAAAAAACATCTCAATGCAAGGTAAATAGTATGCATAATTTTTAATTCTATTCACTAATTATCTATTGAAATGATGTCATTAAGAAACTGTCGCAGCGCTTAATGGGAAAAATTTAAATGCAGTATTAAAATTAGCCGGTGTGGGAAAAATACCCATCCTACTTATGGTGAATATGGTAGTATGAAAGAATGCGTTGGATTTGAAAAATGGACTGAAAAATTTTGCAATGAGATATTGCGTCGTGCTAAGACAATGCGTGTCTTGAATCTGTCATCATCGCGATTGTCTCTTAATGATGAAAAATAGAACAAATGGACTTACTATATTTGATGCAGTAATGCGGCTGCTATTACAGACATTTTGTCAATCCGCGTTTTGAACTGTCTAAGGTTATTAGAACTGAAAAAAGCCTCCTCAGGCAGATTGCTCTAGAATCTCGACGGCATCTGGACAAAGGAGCGGTCGTACCGGCCAGTTCTGGATATTCGAAGCTCAATACGGTTAGAATAGGAAGCCAAAGTCAGGTGAGTCTGTCTAACAGACTCATCGCGCGTCGCCATCATGGATGGGAGCTCTGAGGAGCAAACCCCGTTGGGATGGCGTTAGGGCAGAGCCAGATCGCCGTTAGCCCGTCGGTGAGAAAGGGTCCTGAGACTGCCTGTTAGAGAACGGTCACCGATCAGTCGGACAACCCTTTTCTGTACAGAATCGAGCATGGATAATGTATTCGGAGTGGCAGCATCCCAAGCTTGTGAGCAGTGCTCGAGGCTAGCTCTTATCTAGAACTTGCACAGAGTGATGAGGTAAAAATTGCCTAGTTGCCGCGATTGACGAGATGTGTCTGTACTATGTCAAGTCCTCGATGATCTGGACTCCGACTAGCCTTAATGAACGGACCTTTGATAAAACCATTTTTGTAAGAGTCCTGGTGATCCAAAATTTCCAGAATCTACAATGAAGAAGAAGAAGAGAATACACGGAACCCTGATATTCTCATTGACCAACTTCCAAAAAAAAACAAAAAATTCCATTGCGCGAAAACAAGAATACGTACCGTGAAGACGCGAACCATATATGCTTACAACTGGATACGTTTCGACTACCGTATTTAGGCGCCAGCATTATCATCTCATCGTTGAGAGATACTGAGCATCTTAGGAATACTTCCGAAAGAGATTCAAGGGTGGTATTTCCTTGGAATGTTGATGCCATAGTTAAGAATACATAATCAGTTTCCTCTTAAATCAAAACGACAACATTGTGACGATGGAAGCTGTATGTGAACGCCCAAATACAAGATAAGACATCATCTTGAGAGGTACGTTAATCAAAACCCCAATTAAAGAACTTTTCCACGAAAGAATCGTGAACAGCCTGCACATGAATGACCTCAAAATCCAGATTCTTCTAAACAAAGAACCTGCATGGACGAGACATTAAACAGACCTACCTGACATAACCTTATTCACGAAGAATCTCTGCACAGCCAGTGTGCGAACTTTCATTTTCTACGATTACGACATCCACATAGTAGTAGGTAACCGGACCGTCATCAGTTCATTTTATAGCATTTTGCGTCCGTTATTTTTACTCAAGATGACTGAAAAATGACAGCAAGATTTCTAGGACAAAAGCTGAATGGAACAGTAATGTGAAAAGTTGATCGGGATATAAGCGTTTTCAAACGTCTATGCCAGTGAAGACACTACTTGTAGATAGTATCTAAATAGTCTTCAAATAATAATGGGGTGAAGGGATTGTTTTAGTCCTCTCTAAGCAATTTGTGATGTCAAGTAAAAGAGATTCAAGTTTTTTATAGATACATTTTAGAATTGTGTCTCATGGAATCTAAACTCTAAAATGATTGAACTTATTCAAATTTCTTAGAAAATGAGATTGATGCTTCGGGATAGTACTGGCTTATCATTCTTTCCTCATTCTGTTTGACCTATTAACATCTTTATCTGCATTTCTTATAACTATGTATACTACACATGTACAATTTTGATTCGATTCCCTTACACCTTCTGTTAATATATCTTTTCCGTTTTCTCATACATAACTTCAATAACTTGTCTCTCAGCAATGGAGTATTACTAGGACCTATATTTGTGGACTGTTTCCATGTTACTTTGGTCGTACTTTCTGCTTTAAAAATGCTGCAACCTTTTTTCGAACCGTCCTGTATATTCATTACATTAGGTCAATTTTAAATTAATGTGAGTAACCGAAGAAATGTGCCAAGTTGATTACGTTCATTATATTATTGCTGTTGAACATTTATAATTACAAGGTTGACTAATAGTTTGTTTATAGAATATGCAGTAGCGTGTTGCTCTAGTAAATTGAAATCAAAACAAGTTGTTTTCATACTAGTAATTTCCTATGCATTTTTATGTGCTACTGCCCACTATGGTTTTTGAATCAAACTGTTCCCACACTCAAGTTTAGATACAATTCAGATACGATTCGTTACTGCAGCCCCTATATGTGCATAACTTCAAACTTTCCTGGAAATAACTTTGAATTAAGATTGAGGGTTCTTTGAAATGAATTATGTCATATATAAATGCAAATAATGCAACTTTCTTAGCTCACTATAATTGTCAATTTGGAAAAGTTCGTGCAACGTCTTATTCAATTTATATTATAAGTATAATTAATGGTATGAGAAACTATTGGCGTATTACGATATTTGAATGAGATGTATGTGGATAACCAACTCATTCCAAAGAAATGCAACCTAAATCGGTTCAAACAATTTTAGCTGTTTGGTATCTGTGCTTTTGAGGACATCTAGAAGGACCTTGAAATTCAGTGTTATTATAAATAACGCATGGTCAATTGAGTTCAGTGGTACTACATCGTAATGTTCTACTTCATTTTATATATCAATTTGTTCCAAAATAATGTGACCAAGGTGAGGCCATAACAAAAGGTTGTTGAACTCACTGATTAAATTACCATCTATAGTACAGTTTTTTAAAATAACATTAAAGTATTAATTTGATACACACAGTATCAAACTTTCGGTTGACAATGACTACACGATTCAATTTAGCTACCACTGCCTATACATTTTGGCAGAAATCAATGATGCAAAGTGAATACCGTCCAATGCGTTCAAAAAACTGGAGTACATCTATATGTATATAAATTTTTTAGATTAGTTTATTAAAACCCTTATTCAGAAACTGCCATATCTGAAAACAATAGATTCAAGCTTCGACGCTGTTATTTTGATATTTGTATAATTTCTGAAGCTGAAAATTTGGAATAATAATTGATAATTTTGACCTTGGGTATATTCTTGTTTTGACTAGTAATACATACTTTTATAATGATTTAGATTGTAAATTGCAGAAAATATTAAGTACAGTACTTTGAGACAATTTAACTAACTGACAACTGCATTTGATGTCTATTATTAATTTAGATGATATTAATAAATATCTTCAAAATCTTTTTTGGTATTTTCCAAGCATGTCACAGAACACAAACAACTTAGACGCAGCTTGAACCGACTTCAGTAGCACTTCCTCCAATCCAAATTGATCACGACACTATAAATCCATGTGAACAGTCCTCAGGGTCACAAAATCACATCACGTATCACAATCTGTGAACTCACCAAAGATCTCATGTCGATAATCTCAAACGGTTCTTTGGCGGTGCACCAAATGAACTGATTGCCATTTTGAGCTGCTCAATGGCTTTTATAGTCGTTGTTCATGTTGGGCAAAGGAGGATGCCCCCCTTCCCCCCTTGGAGCTCCCTACTCGGCCGAGAAAGTGTTTTTTCATGGTACCACATGTGGTACCGTCTATGTCGTACCCGTGGCGGGTAGGGTGCGAAGCGTCCTTTACGTAACGGCATCGCCGACGCGGCGTGGTGATTCCAAAGTGGTACCCATGCGACGCTCCGCGCGTCAGCTGGTGATCGGGAAGGTATGTTTGTTTATTTGTATTATCTTAGTCTCTTGATTACAGACGATTATTAGAGGAAAGCGGTCAAAGTCGGAGCCGCATGTTGCTATTGATTTATATGAAATGAAAAGGTATCTAAAACGTTTTAAAGACGTGACTGTTTATTTGCATTATGAGGTGCTACCTTAATCTCTTGATTGCACAAAATCTGTGAAGGGAGTTTACATTGATAAACACATGTCGTGGGAAGCACAGAGAAGTGTTACAGGAAAGTGACCAAAGTCGGTGCCGCATATTGCTATTGATTTAAAAAAATAAATAAAAGAATCTAAAAACGTTTTGAAAGCGTATTCGTTTACTTGTAATACCAGGTACTACCTTATTCTCTCGACTACAAAGAATTGTTAGAGCAAAGTGACCAAAGCCGGTGCCGCATATCGCTATTGAATTAAAAAAAAATGAGAAGTATCTAAAAACGTTTTGAAAGCGTATTCGTTTATTTGTAATACCTGGTACTACCTTATTATCTTGATTACCCAAGAATTGTTAGAGGGAATTGACCAAAGCCGGTGCCGCATATTGCTATTGATTTCGGTGCCGAATATTGCTATTGATTTAAAAAAGATGAATGGTATCTTAAAACGTTTTAAAGGCATGTTTGTCCAATTGTATTATCAGGTACTACCTTAGACTCTTGATTACAGATAATTGTTGGAGGAAAGTGGCCAAAGTCGGTGCCGCATATCGCTATTGATTTAAAAAAGATGAATTGTGTGTAAAAACGTTTTAAAAGTACGTTTGTCCATTTGTATTGTCAAACACTGTCTCTTGATTACAGAGCATTTTTTGAGGAAAGTGGCCAAAGTGAGATTCGCATATTGCTATCGATTCTAACATTTCAAAAATTACGTCTGCTCATTGCGAGGAAGCTTTAAGGAACCAATGACGTTCAATTCCTAATTGTTTTTCAGGAAGCATTCATTCCTTCTACTTCAACACGTTTTTTTCTTAATAACCGCTCAGTAAAATACCTTTTAAAAAGAGATCATGTTATAGATATAGTAAGAGTGATGCTAATGTCAGGGACAAGTTGCACAATGACTAATCCACATTTATTTATCACGATTTACTGTTCGAATTATTGCAATGAGCATCAAGTCATGTTACCTTTAGAATAGTTATTAATACCGATACATCGATACCTCCTTTTCACAACGTTAATACGAATATAAAAAAATGCATTTATGATGCTGTCGACAAAGCAATACTATGCAAAGTAGGTTCTTTCAATTACGGAGTCGATAATTCATATCGATGAGCAAGTAAAATGTCAACAACTTATTTTTCTATCATTAGCTACTTCAGCATGGACTTGATATATCGTGATTTCACTTCTACAGGTTTGCGTAACAGAAATAGGTGCAGGTAGTGCAATGCGGTGCTTGCCGATTTTGAATTAGCTTATATCTTAAGCCTTCTGCATACAAGAGGTATACAGTTTTATGGAAAAAATGTACAAATGATCAACTTTGTCAAGTTATCTTCATCGTCAAAGTAAAGGCTCACTCTTGACATTGACATTGAATTGTTGATTGTTACTGCGGCAGCGTGGTCTGTTCCAGAATTCCAAACGTCAATTGCGCATCCGAGCATTTCGAGTGGTATTTGGCGACTGCTGTCGAGCCATGATAACACATTGCTGTGTAAAATCCAGATCAACGATCTTCAGAACGTTTGTGAGGCTACGTGCAGCATAGCATACTGCGCTATAAGTATGACCTCCCAGAGAAGCTTTGCAGACATAACCTTCTCACTCCACCTGTTCAGCAGGACGTTAAAGATCTGGATCTCTCTACCACTATGTCAATAGGATTTGCTCCTCAGTGCTCTCCTCCATGATGCCGCCTCGCGATGAGCCAGCTAGGCAGACCCACGTGACTTCGGCCTCCCGAACTTGGTACATCCAGAACCGGTAGTTACGACTGCTCCTTTTTCCCTAGTGTTTCGACGAAGCGAAACAATCTGCTTGAGGAGGCTTTTTTCCAGTTGTACTAACCTTAGGCAGTTCAAAAAATCGGGGTAAAAAGGTGTATCTAAGTTCCTTATAGTAGCTGCGGTGACCAGTTTTTTAGGCTTCTGTATTCAGTGTGTAAAAAAGGTATCGATCTTTACTATCTCAGATTTCGAATATATTCTAATGATGAACCAGACGAATACTTTTTAGAGCATAAAGTTTGAAGTGCGATAATTAACAGTTAGATCATACCCGTGATTGTAAACGACCACCAGACTGGTATCACATTGAAAAATTCCAACACTCATTGTTTAGAGAAAAGGACTCTACTTCATTAGAAAAGAATTGAGTAACATTTTTTTGCAATATTCTATTGATAAATAACAATGCTTACTAATCTACTGATTGACAGAAGACTAGATAATTTAAATCAAAAGTCTAGAATTCGCTGAATGTAGATGAGTATAACATTATGTAAAACTAAATTCATTTCTTATTTCACTAGGTCAAGGACGTATGAAGTTGCTAGCTTGGTATCTGCGAAAACAAATTTTACTAAATAGCCTAGCGTTTGATAACATTGGGCCTTATGAATAAAAATTAAGTAAGTGCTTATAAGCATACAGCAGAAGGAACAGCAATAGCGTGCAAAAGGTATTGCTTTATTCAATATGAATAATGATTACAAATGAAACAAATGCTTCATAAAAAACGAGTAAGAGCTCGTGTCTAAAATATTGGAGGTTCATGGTTACCGAACCCAGCCTTGCATCCACACTGTGAATATGTACATTTCGTTGCACGTAGTTTGTACGTTCGAAGCTGTTTTTCCCTTGCGATGTATGTATTCATCCCCAAGTAATTTAGGTTTCTTTATCTGCACATGTTAACAGTCTAATGCTGCAGTGTAATGTAAACTGGCTTCACAGTTCTTTAACTTTCATTATAGCATGGTGACTTTTATGAAACAGAATCCAACGATTAGCCTTTAGTTTTTTCTACCACCAGACTCTGTGCGAGATGCAGTGGACTGTTCAATTCCTAGCTCTTTGCCAATTCCGCTTTGAGAACCTTGATTTGACAAATACGTTAGACATATTTTAATTGTCTCCAAAGCTAATATTGCACACTCTCGCCTAGAAAGTTCCCATCCTAACCACCGTGTCGAAGCTCGTACATCCAGAACTAGTCGATATGACCGCTCCTTAGTCCTAGGGCATAGAGATTGTGGAACAATCTAAAAGAGGAGGATTTTCCTAGTTCCACTACCTTTAGGCAGTTCAAAAATCGAATTAACAGAGTTTCTTTGGAATGCTTATAGCATCCGCGATGCCCTAGCGTTTAGACTTCTACCAGCGCGGCTTCTTTGGTATAAGAAAAAGAACATACCTACTTTTAAAAAAAAATACTAAATAGCAGCATCATTTTTCACAGGTAAATACTCGCACTAGTAAGCATATTATGGTTGGGCTTATTCATACGTTTAAGGCTAATGCTTTCATATCATGAGCATTACCCCTTAAGTTATTTACTTTGAATTTTGCAAGTTTGAGCATGCATATAATTTATTCCTGTATCTCAAGAATGAACTCTACATTTCCATTGCTGTTTTTTCTTTGGTTTGCTCCCATATTCCATGAAGATTTTGTGGGGTTTTCTGGTATAAGCTCTAGATTAAAAATCATTTTCTGTGTAAATCGGCAGGGGTATTACGTAAGAAATCCACAAGTCATTAAAATTCGGTAAAATGTCAACTTATACACTAAGTAGTCGCTAGGCGATTCCGCGTTTACTCGCTGTGAGCACCACCTGTGGAGGGATAGATTAACGACCATGTTGCCTAACAACTTGCAACACACATTTCGCAAAAGATGTGACGAAGATGATATGACCAAGTATTGAGATCGCTACTGGATGCTAGCTTGTATGTATTGGTCTATAGCTGTGATCGCCAACCTTTTCAGTTTGTTGAGCTACTTTCATAATTTTGGAATAAACAGTGAGCTACCTAGTCGTAAGCAATGTAAGTCAACTAAAATGAAATTATACACAATTGTATATACATGCAGAAAACTTTCATCTTTATGACATAAAGTCTTATCACGACTCACTATAGCTGGAGCGCCATCAGTTGCCAAGCCTACCATTTTCGATTTTGGAATTTTCTCAGAAGAAACAATATTTTTAAAAGAAGAAAAAGTCCTGCCCAGTAGTCTGCCCTTTTAGTGGAATAAACTTCAAAAGATCTTCTTTAATCGTAAAATCTCTAAAAATCATTCTGACGATCACGACCATCTGAGAGGTGTTAACGACATCTGTGGATTCATCCCGCTACAGTGAAAAATAAGCACAGTTATCGAAGTAATTTATTAACTGTAAAATCATTGCTCATTTCTTCTACTCGTCTTATCACTGTATTAGCAGAAAGTTGCATAGGCTTTATTTCTAAAGTTGGCAAAGAATAAATCTGCAGCTTCTAAAAACGCCTGTTTTATCATTTCCCCGCCTTCATAAGGTTTCTTTTGTGTAATTATCTGGGACACCCGGTATGATGCCTTACTTTCGTCGATTGTTTTTAAAAACATTTTCTGTTGTCCAATTAACTGATTTTTTAATTGTTTCAGTTTTTCCGTTCTGGTTGCAGAACGTAATGAGAATGTTTCTTCTTAATTCGAATGTACGATATTCCCTTTTTTAGCAACGGAAACAGATGTATTATATAACAAACATACAATTTTACCTCTAACTTCAGCACAGAAATATTGTTCTTCCGAATGGAAATGGTATGTCTTCATCTTCTTACTACTGCTCATAATGTTTTTAATTGCAGGCCAACTCTAACCCAACCGCTGAACTTTGTGTCCAGTTTTAAACAGAGCGCATTGTCGCCGCGCGTTGCGTATTTATTCCGTTCAAAGTAATTGAGATCGTTCTCGAACAGATCGATCATCGCTGTGCTGC